TAACAAATAGGTACCATTTTAAATAACGTCGTGGTCCAGTCAAAATTCTAACCAATATACTAATCGGAATTGGTTTTTTTTTAACCCAATTTTTCTTAAACTACATGTTTGAAATTTGTTTCTATAATGTTTTTGGATAATTCTTTATAAATTCTGGCCTATCTTTATCTCCTAGGATTTGTACTTGGGGAATGTCTTTGTCAATTTAATATTTTATTTTTTCTGAATTTAACTTATATGAATTTTAAATGTTATTTTATAGAACATATTCATTTATATTGATTTGAGATTTTTATAAAAATATATGACATTAACTATTAATATCAATTTGAAGAGAGAATTTACAAACTAAATAAATTGAGATATTGTATACACTTTAATTGAAGTTTATTTGATATATAAATGTAATATATAATATATGAGTTGTTTATACATGAACATGTAAAATGATTTTAATAATAAAATTGATGAAAGAAAATATTAAAAAAAATGGAGAGAAGATTGTTGTTTGGCCCATGGGTTGGCTTAGATGCATCCCGTAAGGACATCTTCAGATTTAAGCATTTTGATACGTTCGAGTTTCCTATATTCTCATTAAACAAAATATGGGATGTCTCTTTTAGATTCAGATTATACAAATGGGCTCTCACACGGTTTCCAAGATTTTGATACAAACGGACCCTACTATATATATATACACGGAATTTTAAGTAGGTTGTTAAATTAAAATAAATGAATGGACTTAAACAACTATATGCAATAAATATATACACATATATACATTTACATATAAAATATTGATTAAATTGTATAATATCTTCATTTATTTTGTAAATTATTTTAAAATTAATATAAATTATATATGTAAAAAAATTCCATAGATAGTTTTTTAATTTGTACACATGGAACATAATATTTAATAGTAGSGATTAAATTATAAAATCACAACGACTAATTACTTTTTTCAAAGTTCCGGCRCTGATTCGTATTTTAATGAAAGTATATGGATAAAATATATTTTTTAACCTAAAATATATATAATTTGTCAAGTTATCAGGTCCAATTTGATAGTAACTTTCATGTCATTTTTTCTGTTAGTCAATTAACCATCAAATGAGTTCACGAACTATTTAAGATATATTTTCCAAATCTCATAAATTAAAATGGTATATTTTGAAAYTTCATGGATCAAATAGACGTCAAGTTCACACTTTAGAGACTAAAATTGTACTTTTTCTTTAAAAATAAACAACAAAAATAGTTATCATTGAAAAAATTTCAATTCTTAAAAAATATGATGTACAAATGGTCACTCTCCAATTGTATATACTAAATTTCCATCAACACATCCGTGTCCCATGACTGCTCAACTTCTGCAGTGTCGATATTTCCATTAATATTTACATATGTCCATGAGTTCGAAATGTTCAACCATAGGGTAAATCAACATTTCCACTATATTGTGAAAAAAAAAATTAATAAAARGCCAACAAAATATCATTAGTGTGGATATAATATTGATAAAAAAAATAGTAAAATGTATAATACCTCTTTTACTTTAACTAGTTAAGACATCACACTATCTCCTATAGGTCGGTGGTTCAAATTCCCCCACCATGGTTGAACTAAAAAAATAGTGAAAAATTATTTGTTAATTTAATTAACTATATATATAGTTAGTTAAATTAACAACTAAGTTTATATATATATATAAATAATATAACAAGTGGAGTCAAATTCATGATCTAGTAGTTAGAGAGCTAGACATGTCGAGTTCAGGTTGGCGTTTGAATTTCTTGATTTATATAACTTTTTTAGAAACACCGAAATTTTATCAATATTTTCATAAGATTGAAACATGTTCGAAATCTAGCTCTAAAATCCCAAATGCAAAAATAGACTATGAAAATACCCTTTTCTTTTTTCTTTTTCCCCTTCTTCAGAGGTAACAATAACAATACTTTCCTTTCACATATTCTCACGTCGTTTTCTCCCTTTCACTGCTTGAAAAGGTTAAAAGACACTAAAAAGGGAAAAAAAAATACTATTTCTCTCTCTTAACAAGAGTTATTTATAAGTTTTGTTATTCTACCTCATATCTCGCACATCCTAGTTCATATTTTTACAATTAGAAATTTGCTAGTGAATTCATAATTAAACAACTCCTACAATTAAGGGATACCTAGTTTACAATTCGTCAAAATTTTCATTATATTTCTATTTAATTTTGGTCGTACGCAATAAAAAGAATGATGTTCATCTTTATTGAATCAAACAAACGTTTAAAAACAAAGAAAAGAAGAAAGAGAATTCACCAGATGATATACTTACATACACACTGATCAGTAAGTGCTATCGACTTTAACAGTGTAAGTAGGCAAGTAATCGTCCTCAAAACTTTCACTCATCACACCAACAGAGAAACAAACAACCCTAACAACAGAGCCATCACACCAATCGAGCCGCCCCCATCCATAGCCAAAGAAAAGCCACCGTTGGTAAAGTTCCCGCTCGACGTGTTGGTGCTCAAAACCACGACGACCCAGTCGTCGTATGTCCCAACGCCAGCTCCGGTAAAGTTCCCGTCGTCGAGATACTGACGATCATGGGAACTCGTGAAGTTCCTGACAACGGAGTCGGGGTCGGGGTTGGGGACGCAGGCCGGGAGAACGATGCCATCAACAGAGGAGTTGTAGTTTATGTGACACTTTGGCAAGAGATTGTGGAAGTCTGAGAGCTTAGTTTCAGAGGTGAGTTCTTTGTTGAAATCATCTGGGCTTGAGCAAACCTCATCTCGCAGCCTCAAAGCCAGTTTTCTAGCCAAACACGCCGCATTGGTGTTGATAATAAACTCGGATAGGTTCTTTGAATGCCTATATTTGTTGATGGCGTTTAGAATATTCTCATCTTTCACTGTAAAGAAAAAGTAGCCATGTGGGGATATTGTACTTAGTTATTTACCAAAGAAAGGAATATATAAGAATAATGGAACTTTCTCGTTGCTTCGGAAACGACCATATCAGTGTTGTTTGATAAGAAAGTAAAGAAAAAGAACCAAACTAGATCACAAATAAACCTAAAAGCTTAAGCTTACGGGTTAGAGTGAATTTAATTAATCTCGGTTAAATTACAAATTTAATCCCTAAAGGTAATTTTGGTGTGTAGTTTCAATTTGGTTCCTATATTTTTAAAAGTTTAAATTAGTGCCAYTGGTTTAAACCATTTGGACCTAATTTCAGTTTTGATCGCTACAATTTGAGTTCAGTTTCAATTTAATCTTTAAATTTAGTTCTTATGGTTTAGTTAAACTTTGTAAATTGCCCTATCATTATGTTATATTGACAAATTTTTTTACACGACAATGTTAAGATGTTTTCTATTTAACTAATTGTGTTAGTAGGATTTAACAAATGGTTTTATCCTCTAGGTGGATAAAATACAATTTTGGGATTGACTTATGATATGACGACCAAACTTAGTACTAATCGTATTGAAACTTTTAAAATGAAAATCATATGGAGCAAATTGAAATTAAGCCTCAAGGGAGTAAAATTTAAACTTCGAAAACCATACATTGAATTTGTAATTTATTTTTTAATCATATGGAGCAAACGGAGATGTGATGTAGATGAAAATATTTGATAACATGTTGAATGCAATTGCAATAAAAGAACAAAGTTTAGTTGTAAGAAAGTCCCAGACGTCTGAATAAATGGAGAGATGATGATAGAAATATTAACAACAAGTCGATACCGATAGATAAAAACAAGGAAAAAAAGGTAATAAACTTGCCTATATAAAACAAAAATGTCGATAAAAACATCATAGTATAATGTTAATGCCGATCAAGAAAATCGTGAAATAAAATAAACGAAATTGTCGATAGAAGAAGTATACATGTGGATGAATAATRTTGTTAAAGATCAAAAGAATCATGAAAATGATAGAAAACCCACAAAAAATTGTTTGAATTCATGAACAAAATCTTAGAGATGTTCATAGATAGAGAGAGAGAGGGAGAGAGAGTACCACTACAAAGAACAGCATTGGGCATAAAGATGAAGTTAAAGAGAGCAACAAAGAAGAATAAGTTGAACAATCTGAAGAGAGAGGCCATTCTTTTTCTTGTGGATGAAAAATAAGTTTGATAATATATATATAAAGAATAAGGCTGTGACTGCCAATTGTGCCCAAAGCAATAAAAAGAAAAAGAGAGCTTCTTTGAAGGTTCCATTGCTATAAATATTATGTCACACACATATACAACTTTTGAATAATTTATTCTCTGTCTATTTCTTTTTCTTTCTTTTCATCAAGTTTTGCCTTGTTAGTCAAGTAATTGGGTTTTAGCTAAGATACCATGCATCTTCTTTGCCCTTTCTTACCTATCTTTTTTTTCGTAATGTTAGTCTCTGAAATTTTGAGTCTGTCTCTAATAGATCTCTGAACTTTAAAAAGTAGTAGTTAATAGGTTCTTATGAACCTGCTTTCTTATTTCTCGTTTCCAATTTTCTWAAGAAATTTCAAGCATTTTGCAATTAATTATCTCTAAATTTTAAAAAGTAGTATCTAATAGGTTCTTATGAGCCCGTTTGGTAACATTCTAGTTTCCTTGTTTCTCGTTTCCAATTTTTTTGAGAAATTTTAATTGYCTTGCGATTAACTATGTTTCTTGTTTCTCGAGAACATTCTCAAAATTATATATAAATTTTTGGAAATAACAAAAATAAGTTTATTTTTTTATTGTTTCCATTTCTAATTTGTTCCAAAACATAAATAAAAAGATTATTTTATCATAGTTGAATTCATAGATGTTGGGGCCATGTAATTTATTTTTCTTCATTAAAAATGAAGAAATAGAAATAAGAAACAGGAACGCTACCAAATTGTCAGCTTTGTATCCAATAAATCTTATAATTACATGTTTAAATTTGTTTTTAGATAAAAAAAAAATCTATTAGACATAAAACTAAATTTTGCGTCTAATATATTACGACCCTGAACTTTTCTAATATATTATGATCATGAACTTTCAATTTCGTATTTAATATATCCGTAAATCTTAAAATGTCAAATAAGTCAATGATCTACTAAACAYAAAATTTAAGAATCTATTAGATATGAAATTGAAAATTCAAGGATTTATTAGATACATTTTAAAGTTCCTCCGTCTAGTTCAACATTGGAAAAGTCCATCCTCGTAATTTAACCTTAAATATTTGACACAAAAAGGACAAAAGGAAGCCATATRATTTGGCTGTAAAACTAATTATGACTCTCATGTCGGGCCAACCAAGGCATATGGGATCTTGACTTTGGCTTTTTCCTTCCAAAACTAACAGAAATACAACATTATCATTATTTTTGATTTGGTTTTGAATTATATATATATATATATTTTGAAATAGGTTTTGAATTTTATATTTATTTTCTTCTTATTTGTAAGTAGTGTATATTGTTGAAAATATAATTTTTTTCCGTTGTAAATTAAACAATGGCTAAATAATTTATCCACCATGCTTTATTTTAATTAGCTCTTAAGTTCACCTCACAAATATAATTTATGGTATAATGAAATCTCTCAACTCCCCAAAAACAAGACATGTAGTAAAATGTAGATGGTAACAAATTCCGAGCTTCCATGAATTTTGGTCAGAATATATAACTCTAAACTTCTCTTCTCTTGTGAATTGTGATAATGTAGTTTTGGTAAGAGTTTAGAAAAGGTAATATTTATATAGATAGCTGTAGTGAATTTGGGATGATTTTTTATCGGATAAAAATTAAAGTGATTTTTCKCACATTAAAAATACTTTTCAAAATTTTTACAGCGTTAACCAAAAATAATTTTGAAATTCTAAAATAAGACAATAGAGTATTTTCCTAAAAGCACTTAATCATAATGTTTTGTGTTTACCAAGAAGTGTTTCCACCTTAAATTTACCTTTCCTCAAACTCACCCCTTGAAGTTGTATTGTTGATTTGTAACTAAATAATTAATGACTTACCTCTTGATGTGTAGCGAGTTGAACATAAGTAAATCAATTGTTATAGGTGAAACTATCTTATCAAGTTTACATGAATTGGAGATTAGATAAGTGACATGAGTCGAGTCACTCGAATCAAATTACCTGGGTYAGACCACACAACTAGATTTGAGCCGATCGGACCCGGTCGAGCTAGTCCATCCAAACTGACCAAATGAGACTCCTATATATAAGAGAAGAGACCAGGGCGATGCAATGTATTAGGGTTGAAAGTAGTGAAAACYGTTGGGTTTTGRCAAAATATTGRAATTGAAGTTGTYCCATATTGRAAGAATACAAGGATGGTCTCCATGTGTTTGAACTTGTCCCACATCGAAAAAGTACAAGGAGGAGGTGTGTTCCAACTACTAATTCTTGTGTTTCTTTATTTTATTATTTTTTTAATTTTCTCAGTTATTTTYTACTTATTCCTGCGGTAGAAGTAGGAGATTTTTTCTGATCAAGTGGCATCAGAGCTTTAGGTTTGTAGTTTATAGAATTTCTGAGTATGCTCTGTGGTTGCAACATTGTCTGAACTTCCACATCAGAAAAGATTTCTTGAAACGAGCTACGGTTCTGTGAATAGTGTGGATTGTTCACTATTTGTAGATTCACTAGGATTGTGAAGCAGATATGTCATTCTTTATGAGTCTAGTGAAGATTGACGTGAAGAAATTTAACGGAAGGATCAACTTTGRCTTGTGGCAACTGCAAGTCAAGGATGTGYTGATACAATCTGGGTTACACAAGGCGTTGAAGGGAAGACYGAGTGAAGGTGCTTCCGAAAAGCTAAGCAGTGATGGAGGTCCAATGGAGTACARCGGTGGTTCCAGTAGAGATTCTAAGAAGTCTAGCATGAGTGATGAAGATTAGGAGGAAATGGATTTGAGAGCTGCAAGCGCGATACGAACAGGTTTAGCTAAGAATATTCTTGCGAATGTGCATGGAATTTCGACAGACAAAGAACTTTGGGAGAAGCTCGAAGCGTTGTATCAGGCAAAGGGCATCTCAAATCGGCTGTACGTGAATGAGCAGTTTCACACGCTGCGAATGGAGGAAGGTACGAAAATTTTAGATTATCTGAGTAATCTCAATAGCATCATCTTTGAGCTGGATGCGATCGAAGTGAAGATAAATGAMAAAGATAAAGCACTCAGGCTYATCTTATTACTYCCACCTTCTTATGAACACATGAAGCCGATCTTGATGTATGGGAAAGATACTTTGAATTTTGCCGAGGTTACTAGTAAACTCTTGTTAGAGGAAAAAGGGTTGAAGAGTGAAGGGCGTACTTCACATGAAGATTCGACACTGGTAGCTTGCAATTGGAASAAGAAGAAAAACTTCGTATAAAAGAAAGCTTGTTGMTGGGGATGCGGACAGTCTGGACACATGAAGAAAGATCAGAGCCGATTCGTCAAAGAGCTCTAGGTCGGATGCTGACAGTGTTTCTCTCATCAGGGGAGTCGATGATCATTTCCTTTGAAGAATTCATCCTCATGGTATGTCCGTTTAACCATGATAGAGGATGTGATGTTAGCGGTTCCACAAGTTTACACATGGACATTGGCTTGGCGGTTATGCAAGGTGTGTGTGGTGGAAGTTATGTCGATGACAGAAGAACTTCCAGGTGAGCTAAGTAGGTGGAAGTTGCATCATAAATCTCAGCAAGATTTATTGACATGTGACRATGAAAAAAAAAAATCTTGGAAGGCGACATTCCAAGTGATCACTTTTATGGTGGAGTAGGCTATAGTTCTCTGAATTGAGAATTATGATTGTCGGTGAAGACAATGAATGCAGTASAAGCTGTGAACTTTTCAATATCTTGCCAARGTGRAATTTGTTGGGTTTTGGCAAAATATTGGAATTGAAGTTGTCCCACATTGGAATAATACAATGATGGTCTCCATGTGTTAGAAGTTGTCCCACATAAAAAAAGTACAAGGAGGAGGTGTGTTCCAACTACTATAAAAGGAGTTTATGAGTTTTAATCATCCCAATTGAAATACTTTAAGGATGGTATACCAGCTTTAATTAACTGAGCGRTATTTGTTTTRAAAKAGTGTTTTGTGTAATTAGGGTYGAGSAGAGAAATYTGTGTGATTGTAATAATTTTTCACATAGTGGTTTTTCCCTTGTGGGCCGTGGTTTTTTCTCCGGTTTGGAGTTTTTCCAAGTTAATTCTTGTGTTTCTTTATTTTATTGCTTTCTTTAAATTTCTTAGTTATTTTCTGCTTATTCATGTGGTAGAAKTAGGAGATTTTTTTCTCATCACAAACAAAGTCCAAAATTGGCTAGGATAAATGATGACAATTATTTCCATGGGCTAGGATGAAAGCTTCCTCAAAGCTAATTTGGGGAACAATCCCTCATTTGTTTGGCGAAGCATTCTATGGGGTCGTGATCTATTTAGGAAAGGCTATCGATGGAGAATTGGTTCGGGTATTGATGTGAATATAGCGGATGAACCTTGGCTCCCAARATTAGGAAATTTTAAGCCTAATTATGTGCACAACTCTTTGTCTAATTCGAATGTTGCTTCACTAATAAGGGAGCCAGGAGTGTGGAATGAAGAGATCATCAGGAATTGCTTTCAGGAAGATGAAGTTGATTTAATCATGAATATCCCCCTTAGCAGGAACGACCCTAATGACGAGATAATATGGGGATTTGACAAGAAAGAGTTTTTTAAAGTGAAAAGTGCTTACAGATTGGGGATCAACGCCTATGAATCTGATTCAGCTTCTTCATCACATACCTGACTTGATAAGTATGTTGTGGAAGAGGTTCTGGAAAGTTCAAGTGGTCCCCCCCCCCCAAGATTTTGCTTTGCTGCTGGAAGATTATACAAGATATTATCCCAAACTTTGCTAATCTTAGCTCTAAAGGAGTCACAACCAAAAAARGGTGTCCTCTTTGTCGTAAGAAAGAAGAGACATAACTATCCATCAATTTTGGAAGTGCAGGTTTGACAGGTCAGAATGTACGGCTATGGACTACTTCGACTGGATTTGGCGAGACTCGGACCAGTACAAAAGACAATCAGGGCTAGTTCTTCTATGGAGTATTTGGACATACAGAAACCAAATTGTTCACAGCACAATTGAGCAACCTTGCTCTCAGAAGATTAGGGCATTTACCGAAAGTAAAATTTATGAGTTCAAAACAAATCTYGGAGGGAACCTGAACATGGAGGATAAAAATCTCCCTAGGAACATCGGCTGGACCCCCCGGCGCAGCACCTRTGGAAACTAAATGTTGATGCTACTTGGATGGATTCGTTGCCTGTCGGCGGTCTCGGGTGGGTTGTTCGTGACTCCGAAAGGCGCTCCATCATGGCAGGATGTTTCCACCTACAAAGGAAATGACCCATTAAAGCTTTGGAAGCCCTAGCAATCTTGGAAAGTCTCAAAGCATTGAATCAATCCCTTACCCTAGAAGCTGAAATCAAAATTGAGTTGGAATCAGATTGTCTGGAAGTAGTGAACATCATTAATAAATYGTCCATGGAGCTCACCGAAGTTTCTCTAATTGTTGAAGACGTATGGAAAGAGGTGGAATCCTTGCCAATTGAAGGATTCAAGCATCTGTCGAGGAAGGCTAATAGAGTCGCTCATGGGATAGCAAGGAGAGCGTGCGAAGAGGGATTCTCGTCTTCGTGGAACCAGTTTTGCGCTACGTGGCTGTCTGTTTTGTTGGCCGCTGATTGTGTTTAATTTGTTTTGTTGTTCTGTTTCAAAAAAAAAAAAATATTTCCATTKGTATGATGCCTTTTGGGTGAAACCAAAGTCAAAGTCACAAAGGTTAAACACAAAGGAGKCAATATCATATAATTGTAGAGATACTGTTGTCCTTAACACAAGGTATGCTAATGCCGTCGTTGAAAGTAAACAAAAAGAGACAATATAAGAATTAAGGATAAGAATCACACTAGAGATTTATATTATTATTACACTCCAAACTCGGGACTATGTCTAGTCTCCTGCAACGACATATTATATTGTACATAATATCACTATACAATAATTAAAATTTATTTTTAGTTATTATCATTTTATTAAAAAACTATATCATACTATTTAGTTAATGTATTTTTAGTTAGCTAAAAATATAAACGGGTATTATAGTAATTACACTATATTTAATTTCTATTATATTGATCTTGGGACAATTTAATTAATTTATAGTAAACATCTTCAATAAATTTTAATTTCGATTCAGATAATTTTTTAATAAACAACATCAAATAAATAACATTCYCATTCTCATTAATTTTATTTCGATTCTTGGTACATTAAAGAAATAACATTCTCATTCTCATTAATTTTATTTCGATTCTTGGTAAGTAAATGATCTGTTTAACCCCAATTTAATCACCATGTAGTAATTTATATGAACGCATTACTCCACAATAGTTTCTAAAGCTTTTTTTTTCCACTCTAAATAAGATGAATTCATGCTTGAATTCAAGATCAAGTATTCCCAACCCAAAGATTTACTCTCATAATCTTCCTAAAAAAAGAAAAAGCTCTCATAATCTTGGTGTTTTTGCAATTTGTAATACCACAAGTGTACAATGTCAAGGTTTTAATATACCTGATGAGAAAAAGGATTGTCACTAAGATTGAGGTAAAAATCTTCATATTGTAATTGATTGGTCCTAACTTTATTTAAATTTATCAAAAACCACACAATAACAAAAAAAAAAAAACCCACCTAAGATTATAATAATTTAAAATTACTAAAAAATGACGCCTTGTTTAAAAATTGACACATCAACAATATCACGTCATTTTTTCGTCAGTCAAATAATAATAAATCTAACTCAGCAACCAATTTAAACTATTTTTCAAACTCCAAGGACTAAAAATATAACTTTCGAAATTATAAAGACTAGTTCAAATTTCAGTGATCAAAATAGATTTTACCTTTGAAAAATAAAAAATGCTTCACGTGAATTCTTTTTAATAATATTAATATTTTATTTATTATTTATTTTTATTATTATCCTTTTATTTATTTGTTATTATTATTTTCTTTTCTACGTATCTCCTTACCCACTTACGTGGCTATTTAATAGCCATTTCTTCTTATCCCACGTTTTYAATTTCCCCCTCTTTCTTTTTCTCCTCCCAGTATCTTCTTATCTTCTTATCTTTTCCGTTTCTCTCTCCACGTTTCTTTTTTCTTCATTCATCGTCTTCTCCTCCTTCCTCCATCCTCTTCCTCTCTCCGATTTTCATCCAATGGAGTGGTAATTAATATTACACAATTAATTCAAATATCCCCGCTAGTTGTAGTTTCAAAGGTCAGAAATTGGAGCACCCCACGTGAGATATTACTTGGATACTTTGAACAGTACTATCTTCTACCACGTGGCTCTCTCCYAATGGCCTTTATAAGATTTCCTTTGCCCATTGCCACTTCTCCGCATCTTCCATTTATACCAATCTTCTCACTCACATGATCTTATCAATCTATCTTGTTTCATTTTTGTTTGTGCAAAAGATTGAGAATTTGTGATTGAGATTGCTTCCATGGCTTCCAAGGGGCAGCAATTTCCTCCTCAACCCCAAGCAACCCAGCCAGGAAAAGAGTACCTCATGCACCCTCCTCCTCAGTTTTCAAGCCCCGAATACAAACCCACCAACAAGCTTCTCGGGAAGGTGGYGCTCGTCACCGGAGGCGACTCGGGAATCGGCCGATCGGTGTCCTATTGCTTTGCGCTCGAGGGGGCGACTGTGGCATTCACATATGTGAAGGGGCATGAGGAAAGGGATACTGAAGACACGCTTCGAATTCTCGAGGAGTGTCGGGTGCCAGACGCCAAGTCGCCGCTTGCGGTGGCCGCCGACTTGGGGTTCGACAAGGATTGTAAGAGGGTGGTGAAAGAGGTGGTGGCAGCTTTCGGCCGAATCGATATATTGGTCAACGGCRCTGGAGAGGCACATAAGGCATCCGTAGAGGAGATTGATGATAAGAGGCTAGAGAGAGTGTTCAGAACTAACGTATTCTCTCAATTCTTTATGGTTAGGTACGTTACAAAAATTTATATATTAATCAACCATATAAAAATTTTTACTCGATCTTAATGATTCAGGATTAAGATTGAGTCGCATATAATTGTTACGTGAAATACTTACTTCACTTACTTATTTTAATTGATTCCAATCTTATACAAATTTATTATTTATGATAMATCTACTCACACATCTCTACATAAATCCAAACCGTTCGTAATATTTACAAAGCGGACCATATCAATTAGAGTAAGAACACCCAACCTTATTGATTTACTATAACGGTTTAGATTATAGTTTGAACATTGTTCTCTTCCCTGTTCTCAATATTATSAAGATGACATTTATAATATTGGACTTTCATAAAAACAATTGATAAATATTGCATGCAATCAAAATAATTAAATAATTTATCTTTCAAATAAGCAAAAAACTATTTATTAATTATAAAGTTTTAGGACATAAATCTCAACTATCCTGTCATCATTCTATTGAATTGAAAAATTCTCCGGTTCATCTTTATTTTATCAACTTGACTTACTTTTCATACATGTCAAATCATCCCATGCCATCAAAATGGAAACAACTAATTTAAGACTAAATATGTAAGTAATTTAACATGGGAAAAATGCATRGCTTAAATTGTTTCTAATATATATATATWTTTTCAGGCATGCCCTGAAGCACATGAAGGAAGGCAGCGCAATCATCAACACGGCGTCGGTGGCGGCGTACAATGGCGACCCTCAGATGGTGGACTACTCAGCTACTAAAGGCGCCGTTGTCTCTTTCACTAGAGCTCTGGCTCTTCAACTAGCTAGTCGAGGGATACGAGTTAACGGCATCGCTCCGGGACTGATATGGACGCCATTGATTCCGGCATCGATTGATAACGAAGATATTGAAAATTTTACAAGCACTGCTCCGATGAAACGAGTTGGTCAACCGATCGAGGTTGCTCCTTCATATGTGTTCCTCGCTTGCAACTATTGTTCTTCCTACTTCACTGGCCAAATCCTCCATCCCAATGGTAAGTTTTTTTTGCAAACATCAGAAACAAAAACTTACCATAAAATAAGTAGGGTAGCACCTTTTATGTGTTTCAAAATATATCACCTATTTTTTTAAATTTTTAAATATAWCWCAAATTTTTACTCATATCASTAGTATAATTAGATACTTACATCGATATTATATCATATGTATATCACATTCATATTGTATAGACACTTATATCAGTAGTATATCAATTGTATATCACATACATATATCAGTAGTCAGAATAGATATATTACACATGTATATCGTTTGAGTAAAGTTGTCATTTTAAAATTGAACATCCATTTTTTCTAAAAAAAAGAAGTGCAGTATTTGAAAAAATTMAACGTGGTTGTTATTTTACTAATTTTACTAAATATTTTTATCATATTTGTGACTTATGTCATCATATTTTATATTAAATTTTGAATTTAAATCTAAATTGAATAGTATTAGTTTCGTAAAATTTGAAATCTTTTTTGTTTTTTCATATTTGTGACTTGTGTATTTTTAAACATAATAAAAGATTTCAAATTTTACGAAAGTAATACTATTCAATTTAGATTTAAATTCAAAATTTAATATAAAATATGATAACATAAGTCACATTTTAGACAATGTTCAAAAAAAGAAAAAAGAAAGTAGATATTAATAAATTTATGTTAGGTGCTAACTTTTCTATTTTCAAAATAATTTTCTATTTGTCAAAATGAACTTAATCCAACCGTAATTGACATATACTCCAATTAAGAGGTCATGAGTTCAATCTCCAACTCTAACGAAAAATAGAAATGAGCAAATTTTGGGTTCTCAAAATTGATAATTTTTTTTTTAGAGAAATGGTTTTCTCCGCTATTTGAAGAATTTCGTTTGCATCTTTTGACGCATGCTCTTTGTAAAGCCTATTGTATTAAAAAAAAAAAAAATTCTATTTATATTCGTTAAAATTTAAATTTTATCATACGTTTTTCTTTATTTAACATATATATAATTTTTTTTTCTGTCTTCGTTGAATTTACACATTTCCCTCTCTGACACATGTCAGGCTAATCTTTTTTCTCGCTAAATTTTATGTCTTTCTCTATATATTACTGTATATTTTTTCTTTTTTCTCTTTAAATATTTTCTCTCTCTAAAGATTATCTTTCAAAATTTCCWCTCTCTTATCTAATTTTTCTCCCTTTCTCTCACTTTTATATCTCTAGAATTTATTTCATCATAAAATCTTATTTTTTTTTCCTTCTAAAATATTATCCTTTTATAATTTATTTTACCCTCAGCCAAAGAATTTGACATACCTCTCCAACCAAGAAGTTATAAATTCAAATTCTCACGCCCTATTTATTGTTTTAAAAAAACTTATTCCGCTCTCTCTAACTCATCTTTAATCCTATAATATACTTCTCCCTATTTAATTAACTTTTATCGTTCAAGTACTTTTTTTCCAGCTCTAATTTATCTCTATAAGTTTTTCACTTTAAAACTTTAAATCTCAGTTGTTCTTTTAAAATTTCCCATTTACTCTCTCACTTTTATTTCTCCCTCAAACATGTATAGGTCTTTCTCTSTCCCTATTTTTTTTTTCCATAAAACTTGAATGGTTCTACAAATTTCTTTCCCTCTCTAACATATCTCTCTCCAACTTTACTCTCTATAAAACTTTTAATTCCCTTTCTCGAAAGTATAATCTCTCTCAACTTATCTTTCTCCTCACGTTTCTTTTTCTTTCTATAGATTTTATTTCTTTCCCTCTCTCTAATATGTTGCTCCTTCGGATTGACTCCATCTGCAAAGTGATTCTCATTATACGCAAAAWTTTTTAAAAGACACTTCTGCATAGTAAAATCATCTTTCTTGCTATAAAAAAAGTAGTTGATTTTTTTTAATCAAATATAAAAATAAATAGTCTTCAAAATTTTGGTYAAAAATTTATAACTATATTTTAAAAATTAGACAAGAAGTTATTAGTAAATATATTTAACTTTTTAACTGTCAAAATGGTAATTTCAGTTTTGTGACATGATATCTGTGTTTGAATTTTGTATGCAGGTGGGATTATTGTAAATGGGTGAACTAATGTCATCTTGGTGGATCTTCATCTCTCTCTAAAAAAAAATTAAAAAAAAAAAGAATAGTGTTCTTATTTATAATTATCTCCAAATAAAATAAATAAATGGAAGCAAGCTATGAGGGAGAGCGTTATTATACATATGTGTATCTCTTTTTCTTTGTTATTATTCTGATATTATTTTATTTTCTATGTAAGTACTGTGCCTACAAGTGAATCTTAAATAAAAGTTAAGAGACTTCTAAATAGTAAATACATGGATTGCTGTCTTTATTTCCCCTCAAACTTTAAATGGGTTCTTTACCTTTTTGTGTATATAACTTAGGAGAGTAAATTGAATTTTTTTAAATTTTAAAATCAAATAAACGACAAAATTAATACGAAATTTGTAAYCGGTGGTAAATATATAGTTTTGTCATATTTACAAATATACTACGAAGAATAAGATTTTGCAAATWTGTCAATTTTATAGACTGAGCATCTATTTGTGGTCTACCAGTGAAAGACATCTACCAATTTATCAGTRATAAACGTGTGACATTTTTATGSAWTTTTTTTTTAGTTTTGATATAAGATTTGGTATTTAGGGCTAGATTATTGTTACATGTGCAACTTGGGGTGCTAAAAACTCCAACGACTTGAAAAATTAAATCCAATCAATGCAAYCCAAYCCGTACGATTTGGATTGAGTTAAAAGCTCATTTTGTTTTAAACTTGTTTAGCTTATCTATTTACTTTATGTGAATAATTATTTTAGCTTATCTTTTTGTTTTATACATTATATGAATATAATGTATGGTATAATGAAATCTCTTTCTCCAAAATCAAGAAATGTAATTAGTAAAATGTAGATGGTATATAACAAATTCCAAGCTTCCATGAATTTCAATTAGAATATATAACTCTAAATTTTTCTTCTCTTCTTTGTTGATTAGGTAGTTTGGTAAGAGTTTAGAAATTAGAAATTAATGTTTATATAGATAGTTGTAGCAAATTTAGGATGATTTTTGAAATGATAAAAATTAAAGTAATTTTTCCCTGTTAAAAATACTTTTCAAAACTTTTATAGTGTTTGGTTAGATAATCAAAAATAATTTTGAAAATTTAAAATAATTAACACTATAAGACAATTAGGGTATTTTCCTAAAAGCATTTAATTAATTTTTTTGTGCTTTACCTAGTAGTGTTTTCACTTAAATTTCAAACTCGGCCTTTAGAAGTTGTATTGTTGATTTGTAAAGTGCATGATTGATGGACTTAATTATCTCTTGATGTGCAGCGAGTCCAATATACATACCAATCTTGAAAGAAAATCGTATCCTATAAAACTCACATGAATGGGAGATTAGATAAGCGATATGGATCGAGCCACTCGAGTCAAGTTGTCCCGTTTGGGTCCACACAACTAAACTAAATTTGAGCCGATCTGAACCGATCAAACTGGTCTATCCAAACCGACCAAATGATACTTCTTCTATAAATAAGAGGAGAGAATAGAAAAGGAAGGTGTTAGGGTTGCAAGTAGTGCAAACAAAATCCAATCTTGGTTAAGGAAGAAGGTGATCCATGATATATACGTGAAGAAAATTATCTCTATTGATATGGTATCTTTTGGGCAAAGTAACGAGAGCTATACCCAAAACAGACAATACCATACTATTATAGAGATATTTTGGATACTGTTATCTAACACAAGATACATTAAAATCGCGGTTGAAAGTAAACGAATAGCGACAAGATAAGGATAAAGATAAGAATAACACTAAAGATTATTTATATTATTATTATATCCAAAACTCAAAACTACATCCCGTCTTTTTGCAAGCATAGGTTATATTGTATGTAATATCACTATTCAATAAAATTAAAATTTATTATTAGTTATTGTCATTTGAAATTGAAACCAATATTATACTTCAATCATAAAATAATTAGATAAATACAAAATACCACTACTAAATATATCAAATATATGAAGAATGTTATAAAATCTGAACTCTTATCTACATCAAGTATTTCAAACACATTATTCCTCGTACTCAAAATAAAATAAAAAATAATAATCTTAATTGTCTTATGATCTCTCTAACATGAGTGAAATTATATACGTAACTACAGGAGGTAAAGTTCATCTCAAATTCTGCACAAAAATTTGAGTTGTTATATGTCAATTTAAATAGTCATATTTTCAAATATTGCAACATGGTTATGATATAATTTATCACTCAATTTGAGTCACTTCAAAAACGAGAGAAAGGACTACCTGTTGTTCCCTTCTAATATTTCGATTGAAATACTTATAAATGGTATTTTTTGTAGTAACATTTATGGGTCCTATAAAATTCATAGGTATAGGGAGAAATCTCGTCAAATAGAGATTTTTTCTTGGTTAAAAAATACTTTTAGTCCCTATACGTTGGCTAAAGTAACAATTTAGTCCCCAAACTTTATTTTGTAACGATTTAGTCCCTGTACTTTCAGATTGATAACAATTTAGTTCTTGAACTTTTCAGATTGGTAATAATTTAGTCCTTGAACTTTAATATGTAACAATTTAGTCATTGTAATTTACAGTTGGTAACGATTTAGTCCTTATTGTGAAATTTTTTTATTAAATTTCTTATATATACAAATTGACAAACTAAAAAGGGACCAAATATGTTTATAATTACAAAGATTAAATTGTTATACGATAAAATTTGACACTTAATTTTAATAAATTTTTTTTAATAGGGACTAAATTGTTATAAAATTTTAAATGACAGGGACTAAATCGTTACAAGTTAAAGTTCAAGGACTAAATTGTTACTTTAGTGAAATTATAGGGACTAAATCGTTACAAACTAAAGATTAGAGACTAAGTTGTTACTTTAGTGAAAGTATAGGGATCAAATGTGTTTTTTAACCTTTTTTCTTTTGGACAGGTAAATTTTTTTAATTTTTATTTTTTGCATATTTATAATTTTTTAATCTAAAAGATGGTTAATAGATATATATGTAAACAATTATAAATATGAAAAAAAAATCATTGTATTTTGACTCAAACAAAAAGTCTCTCGTTTGACAATATACCTATATGAATTTTCATATATAATAACTCATTTAATTTCCATCCACCAGTCTACCTATATCATTGATAAATGTCTATTAATAATATAATATATCATATGTGTCTATCACTAATATATTATCAATGACATAGTCTACGAGAATACCTAACGTGAAGAATTTATCTCTAACTCTAACTCTTTAACTCTATCCATAGGAGCTTTTCTGCAAGGAGTCTAGTTATTTTATCTATGATACTACACAATAATCATCTAAAGTAAAGAGTGAGCAAAGAAGGGACGACCCCCCTTCTTAGTTGTTAAGGATCTCATATTGAAAAGAAAAGTGACCTAACAATGGTTTATAATAGACATGAGCTACTCCTATCATTGCCAATTGGTTTTGAGATTGGTTTTGAGATGGAACTCCATGAATATTGATATAGTATCAAAGCCAATAGTTCATCTTTTAGATTAAAAAAATAATAGGTTTAAAGTACTATTTTGGTTCTTATGCTTTTGACTTTGGTTCGTTTTGATCCCTATATTTTTAAAACGTTCATTTTGGTCTCTTATTTTCAACTTTTGTTCATTTTTGTTTTGTACTTTCAAAATATCTGTTTTGGTCTCTGTACTTTTAAAAGGTAATAAAATTTTGTCTATATTTATAAAATTTTAACACCAATTTTATACGCAATAAAAGCTATTTAATACAAATTTATGGGTACAATTTTAAGAAATTTAATGAGTGAGGTGAGTTGGAAAATTAAAGGAATCCTAGTTTATGATTGTTCTAAAAATAAAAGCCATAAAATTCCAGAACAATCAAGATCAAAGATCTAATTATGGAAGAAAACCAAAATCTTTAACAATGTTAGAATTACCTGGAATGATTATATAGTTGATCTGACATGCAAGAAGTTGTGGTTTGTGTTCTTCCTCAACTATGTAACCCGGACTAAATATGAGCAATACTCTCTATTTGTGATGGGGAACAGGAGGCACAAAGAAACATAGTGTATTGGGAACCATAACTATATATTTATAGTTTAGTCCCAGGGCTTCCCATAATCCCCTCAGATTAATAGGCTGGTTTCTATTCAGTAAACACACCACTAAATGAGAATTCATGCGCCCATAATCAAGATCACTTGCATGTCAATTAAATAGTCCAAAGACAATTGCTCTTTAATTTATCACCCACATATGAATTAATTATTAAATTAATTCCAACAAAGTGTTAATGCTAAAATTGTATAATCGAAAGAAAATTGTATAATCGAAAGAAATGAGATAAAAATAAAATAAAGCGACTAAAAATGGTCACTTTGTAAAAGTAGAAATATTAGATAGACGTATCAAAAGTAAATGGACTAAAATAAACCAAAGTCGATAGTACAAGGTTCCAAATAGTATTTAAATTAAAATTATATATAAGAAAAACAACTCAGATTTAAAATTTTCTTTCTAATTTGTCCTCCTAAATGTTAAGAATGGAATGGAAAGATTTTATATATAAAAATTAGATAGTAAAATTAGACCGGATGCCGTTTTGAGCTCTGATATCATATTAATATATCTGAGATTTCATCTCAAAACCAACTAACAACGAAAGGAGTGGCTCATATCGTCTATTATAAACATATGTAGAGTCCTTTCTTTTATCAACCTAGGATCCTTTAATACCTAATAGATATTTAATAAATCTATTTGATTGGGTGACTTGAGGAAGGGGAAAAAAAAAAAAAAGAGAAGAGTTGTGTACATCTCTCTACCTAATCGCCGTAACGTTACACAATTAATTCAAATATCCTCATCTAATTGGCCACCTAAATATAGTTTCAAAGGTCAAAAATTGGAGCCACCCACACGAGATTACTTGGATACCTTGTACACTATATATCTTGGACCTCGTGTCTCTCTACCAATGGCCTTTATAAGACTGCCATTGCCCATAGCCACTTCTCCACATCTTCCATTGTTAACAACTCTCTCTCACATCATTCCATCTTGTTTCATTTTTGTTTGTGCAAAAGACTGAGAATTTGTGATTGAAATTGCTTCCATGGCTTCCAAAGGGCAGCAATTTCCTCCTCAAAAACAAGCAACCCAGCCAGGAAAAGAGTACCTCATGCACCCTCCTCCTCAGTTTTCCAGCCCCGAGTACAAACCCTCCAACAAGCTTCTCGGGAAGGTGGCGCTCGTGACTGGAGGGGACTCGGGAATCGGCAGATCGGT